TAGGGAAGGGGTCCACTCCAGGTGCTGGAGCAGGCAGAGTGCGTTTCCACTTCCTGTGGTTTCCATAGGGGGAAAAGTGTCCCCATCTTTCTCTAGAGCTGACCCAGAGGAGGAAATTTTCCCCAATGAAAATACTAGTAGATACTGTTTTGCACCTCTCTCCATGAAAAATAAAAACAAAATCAACCACTGCTTCTGTACTGTAACCACTACAGAGGCAGGACCGGAGTTAGATAGAAATTTTGATCTAAACCTCATAATGCCACTTGCAAGAACCTGCAGAAACTAACTTGAACAGGGTCTTGAAGAAATACATGTGTACTCATGATCATGGCAGCACTATTTCCAGTAGCCAAAAGGTGGAAGCAACAAAGTGACCATAGATGGATGGATGGATAAGTAAAATGTGCATACATATAAATAAAATACGTTTATGAAGGAAGGACGTTCTGACATATGTTACAATGTGGATGAGCCTTGAGGACGTGATCTTGAGTGAAATAAGCTAGACACCAAAGGACAAACAAGCAATAATTCCACGTACACGAGGTACTTTTTGTTGCTGGGCTGCTGTGGATTTTCCAGATGTACTGGGTGCCCTTCTATATATGTGACTTGGTTCTCCTTCAGTGAGGGCAGGGGCGACGCCAGAACAACAGTGTTTAGTAAGAACAGACTGATGCAGATGGAAACAGGTGATGCAGATGCCAGACTCCCTGGGTTTGGGCCGCCAAATTGGAAAACAAGGCCACCTGCCTGAGCTTCAGTTGTTCTTAGCTGCCTTAATGACCTCGCTATGAAATGAAAATCTAGACACATTCCAGGCAAGCTGTATTTGAAGGAAAAATGACATCAGTTTCACCAATTACCATATGAAACAGACAAGAAGTCACTCTCTGGTGACCAGCATTACGAGCTCAGTGTCCGGGAGGCTCGCTGGTATTCATGCTCCAGCAGGGGTCAGACACCCTGGCGGGGGGTTCCTCCAACACAGAAGGTCCCACCATCCCAAGGGTCTGAGTCACAGGGTCTGGGGTGAGCTGCAGAGGATGCGTTTCCAACATGGGCTCAGGAGATGTTGAGGTGCTGCTTTGGGGACCCCCCTCAGAGGCACTGTGGTAGAGAATGTAACCCCTCGTATTTGGGGTTCTGAATGGTGCTATATAAGACCTGCATGTTCCTCTATCCCTGGGTAAGCTCTGGGCCACGCAGGTAAGTGGTGGCCCTGTAAAAATCATGCCTAGTGTAATGAGCAGTTCCTCCCCACCTGCTGCTCTGGTCCCTGTCTGCTACCCACCCCCACCTCCCGCGGTGTCCCAACGTCACCCAGCTGGGACGGTTGTAGTGTGCTGTTGCAGTGGGTTCAGCTGCCAAGGAAATGTGACCAAGGCAGCCAGGGATCTGAACATTCACTGGGCCACAGCCAGAGCTGGACACCGGGGATGGCATTTCTAGACAGTCGGGTACGCTGTTCGGTGCCCAGCCAGGTGTCTCCCTAGACAGCATGAGGCTGCTGCCTGCTGGACTTCTCCTGAGCACAAGTTCCCACGGGGGAAAGAGACAGGGGGATTTAGTTACATGTTTTTGAGGCTTGTGCCTTGTGCCTTGTGTTTTGCAGATGCCAGATGTTGGTCTGGCTTTGTATGAGGCCTTGAGGGAGACCTGTGCATCCCCCCTGCCCTGTGTTCTGCAGAGCTTTGTTGGGGTGTGGTCAGCATCTGGCAAGTGACAACGTGCTTAGCTGTGACAGGCTCTGATTCCTGCATTCTTAGCCTGAGACACCTTCATTACAAAGACAAATACCTCCTGCAGGCTTATTATGGGATGTTATTTAGAATGTGAGCTTTTTTTAAAAAGTAAACTAAAATTTTTATTGTGACATGATATGCATAACATTTACCATCTTAGCTATTTTTAAGTGCATGGTTCAGTATTAAGTGTATTCACATTATTGTCCGATATGTAGAACTATTATTCCTTCTGGCAAAACTGACACTTCCCTTTGAACAGCTCCCCATTTTGCTCCTTCTCCCAGCTCTTGGATCATGAAGATTTTTTTCCTCTTTGACCGCAGATCTTATTTTCTGTGCATTTGTTCTAAGGGAAGTGATAGTGCCTTGGGACACAGAATTCACGTGGGTTTGAACTGTTCTCAACCCAGCAGGAAGCAATGGGTGTGTCTAGCAAGGTAGTTCATCCTGTAGTCTTAATTTCCCTGATATTTATATTTGTTCCCTGCAGATTTATTCTTTTTTTATACAGCAGATCAAAATACCACTGAGAAATACTTTAGCATTTTATTCCTTTAAACCTACAGTATTCCTTAATGGCTTTATGTTTGGCTGGTATTGATATGACAGGCGTAGTTTATTTATTAGATGGTTTTGATGCTGGGAATTGAGCCTTGTGCCTTAGGAGCACATACTCTTCCCCTGAGCTGTGGGCCCTCCTGCCCTTCCTTGTTTAGATTGCATCTTAGAAACCCTGTCCAACTTGAATTTTCTCCTTCATAATGTCCAGTTTTCATTCTTTCAGTTCTTCATGTTTGGGACTGAGATTTACCAGTTTGGGTCTAATCCTCATGCTGAATATTTCAGGAAAAATTTGAATTAGAGCCATTGGGTTGTTCTTGAATTATCAAAACAAGGAAAAAGTTGTGTGCTTTCCCTTCGTCCCTCAGGGTTGCGGGTAGATAATGAAGACATGATTTCAGAACTGGCCTATGGTCAGGTTTAAAAAAATTGACTTCTGTTTCATTGTTGAGAAAAGGAAAGTTTGGGGAAAAAACAAGAAGAGAACAGAATAAGTACCTGTGTTCCTTCTTTTCCCTTGTGGTAAAGAATATTACGTTATGCAAAGGTAGGGTTTATTTAATTTAATGGAAGTTTTCAGTAGGTAAAGTCCAGGCTGTGCCACCACTAATCCCTGTGTCACACAGATGCTTTCACTCTGTGCTCGCTTGGCTTGTAGGCTTGGTGCCATCGCTCACCAGCTCTGCTGGGCTTGGCCGGAGTTGACCCTGGCCACACTGCATGCAGTGGTCAGCGCTTCCTGCTGCCGCCCTGGAGCGTGGGAGAGGTGGCACCAACCAGAAAAAGTTTCAATGGGCCTGGCAGAAAATTCTCCTTTCTGGGCTATGGCTATGATTTAGCCAAGCAGAATATTCAAAAAGTTCTCATTTGTGCTCCCACTCTATCCTATAACTACTTCTCCCTTTATCACCTTGCCCCCAAGGCTGTGAGTCCCACCTTCACATTATTATGGAAAAGGAACTCAAGAGTGCATGGTGCCCTGGGGATTCTCGGATCTAATGGGCTTTCTTTATTCATGTCAACTTTGACGCCTCTGCATCCTTGGAATTTTTCTTCAGCTCTTCTCCTTGGAACACTTTTCTAGGGCCTCTTGATGTTGAGGTCTTTGTAATTAAGTGCTGCCAAGAAGAGGTGTGTATTAGGCAGTTTTGTATTACTGTCATTAAATAACTGAGGCAGGAAACATGTAGAAAGAAAAGTTTTGTGGAGTTCACTATTTTGGAGGACCAAGAGCAAGATCAAGCAGACCCACTGTTTGGCCTCTGGTGAAGGCACCAGATGGCATTGGTGGGAATGAGAGTCAGAGAGACAGGTCACGTCTCCATCCAAGAAGTGAGAAGATGACTTCAGGGCCTCCCACAAGGTCCCTCCTTCTGAAAGTCTAAAGCATTTCCCAATAGCACCACCCTGGGGACCTTTATATATGGATATGTTGGGGACACTCAAATTATATTCAGACCACAGCAAGGGCAACACAGCAGAGGACATAACCTTTCCTGTTATTATACTTTGTCTCAGTGACGAACTTTGGCAAAAATGAGAACTTCAGGGAAAGAAGAAGGAAAAGGATGTTTTGGCTAGACACCCCTGGGTTTGAGTCCGGTCATTGTTGACTGGCTCTGGGCTTTAGCAGGTGGCTTTACCTTGATGAGCCTATTTCCCTGCTGAGGGTAGTGCAGAGGCCAACCTTGACTGGTGCTGGTGAAGGTCAGAGATGAACAAGCTGGCGTGTGGCAGGCATCTGTCTCTGCCCTTCCCTCCCCTCCCGTCCCCTCCCTTCCCCTCCCCTCTCCTCCCTGTTCTCCTCTTCCCTTCCCCATCCTCCCCTGTACTGCCCCCATTTCCCATCCTACTGCAGTAAAGCCCAGATGGGAGTTTTGAGTTTTCTGCCAGAAGCAGCTAACATACTTTCTTTTCTTTCTTTTTTTTTTTTTTCAGAATCACTCATCCTATTCATTTTTAAAAGACCAAGTGGTTTCCAGCTTAGCTTTGGGTGTGTGTATCTATGCACACGTGTGGGTGGGTCCAGTTTTCCATCATACACATTTTCTTTCAGAGAATTCACTTTCAAGGGAGTTTTCTAGATTTTCAGAAAATCTTTTTGATGAAAATCTACATTTTTCTCACATGCCGTATACATATTTTCTTTTGCTCAAATCTATCTATGCATGCTGAAATTTGAATTACATGTAGTTATTATCTTTTAGTTTTTCTAGTACTCGAAAAGTGCAAGCTACATTTTAATATTATGATTTTTTTAATTCAGACTTTGTATTTTAGAACAACTATTTACAGAAAAATTGAGTAAATACTACAGAATTCTCAATGATTTCCATTTTAATGTTTTAAATTAAGGCACTTTTTTATAATTAGTCAATATTGATATGCTACCACAATCTCAAAGTCCATAGTTTATTCAGATTTCCTTATTTTTTTTTAGATATTTTTATTTTAAAGAGAATAGAAAATAATTTTAAAAAATCAGAAATGATACAGAATTTCAAAAAAGCAAGATGATAGGAATTCACTGATGGTTGTCATATTGCATATGACTTTGTCTTCAAAGTAGTTGTTCAGATTTCCTTAGTTTTTAACCTAATATCTTTTCTGTATTTCAAGTCCCTATGCAGCATACCAGTGTATCTTTTTTAAAAAATTATATCTGTATTTCTTTTTCTCTTTTGATAGGTATACAATATGTTTCAGCACCAGAGCCTGGGAATTAAAATTAATATTCAAGTTACCAAGCTTGTGCTGCTACGACAGCGTCCTGTAAGTACCTTTCAAAGCATGCAGAAAATGGAACACGTCTCAAAGCTCCCTGTTGCTATCGAGTGCTAAGGAGGGTTCCACATCACCGTCTGTATTCCTTACCCCCGGCTCTGCAGACAGCAGCGGTGTGAGGAGGGAAGGTGTGCACACTGGAACCGCGGTGTGTGCGCTGCTTGTATAGACTCTCGTGGAAACCGCCAGCCTGGGCTCATGCACACACCCGCCCCTCCTAGAAGGTCTTGCAGGTGGCTGTCAGCCATGCGCAGAGCTGAAGGAGGACTTTGGAATCAGGGCTCCCCTCCTGGAGCTTCCACACCAGTTGGATTTACCATAGCCTTGTTTTCTGGTCTTTTCATTGAGTCCCTTCCCACATGCCAATGTTACCGGAGGAGTAGCCTGCAGAATTGAGCAATCAACATGAGACAGAAGGAATTCTACTTGCTTGGCTCACCATACTGTTTGTTCTGTTAACAAAAAAAGTAGCTTCCTTTTCTTTAATAATCTTCATTTGAACTTATAAGGTCCTTAATGATTCTCAGAGTCCCCGGATACACACTAATGTTAGGCTTTAACTTGGGTGCAGTGACTTACTGAATGATGTCTTAGTGAGTAGCTGTCTCCCTGTCATTGTCCCTGCCGCAGTCTGGATAGAAGCTCTGGCTTCCCCGGGTGGGTGTTCACTTCTCTGACTCCCGCCTCCATTTCTTTCAGGCCAAGTTGTCCATTGGGCACCACGGGGAGCGGTCCTTGGAGAGCTTCTGTCACTGGCAAAATGAGGAATATGGAGGCGCGCGGTACCTCGGCAACAATCAGGTCCCAGGGGGAAAGGATGATACCCCTCCCGTGGATGCTGCTGTGTTTGTGACCAGGTAAAACCAGAGCTGCCAGTAGCAGACCTGGGAGGGGAGGAGGCAGTTCCCTCTATCAGGAACGTCGCTGGGAGTTCAGCCTGGGAAATCACACCTTTGTCTACCTGTCTGCGCTTCAGTTTCCTCATTGGTTAACTGGGGGTTCATGATGATATCCAGTTCTGAGGGCTGAAGATTAAAACGAGCTCTTGCATGTGAAGCACTCTTCCCAGTGCCTAGCACCAGTACTAGCCATTATTTGTCCTACTATTAATAGCAGAAAAGTACTGTACTCTTAGGTAGCCAAAAATCTTGACAAATTCCGAGAAAGTTCACCTGCTACTTCTCCCCTCCACCAAACGCTGATTGGGAAATTGCTGATGTGGGTCTGCATATGCTTCAGACTGGCCTCAGCACAGTTAGGGAGGAGAATGGATGCCCTGAGCACCCTGTGGGAGGAAGCCCACATGGGCGTGTCATGTGTCCCGCATGGCCTCCCTGGGTGGACCATTTACAGGGACCCTAGGGTCCTCCGGAGAGCTGAACCTTCTGGGTGCCCATAGGAGTCGCATACAGCCTCTATGTGAAGCAAGCAGTGAAACCTGCATAGAGGCTGTAGAACTGGACTTCCCTTCTGGATGGCAAAGGAAACCAGGGCTGCAGGAGTGGACAACAGAATCCCAGGGCAGCCTCTCAAGCACAGCAGCATGGTGGCTTTAGTTTCCTGGAGCTGCTGTAAAATAATGACCACAAGCTAATCCACTTAAAATGATGGAAATTTATCCCCTTACAGTTCAGAGCCTAGATGTCCAAAATCAGGGTGTTAAGGCCGTGCTGTCACTGGTGGCTCTAGGGAGGGGTCCTTTCTCCCATCTCACCCTTCTGGTGGCTTCTGGCAGACCGTGGTATAGCCTGGCTTCTGTATGCATCCCTCCAGTCTGCCTCTGTCATTTCGCGCGCTCTCCTTGGGTGTCTCTGTGTCCACACTTCCCTCTTTTTAGAAGGGCAGTGGTCATTGGGGTAGGGCCTGCCTTGATCCACTGCGACCACATTGTAACTCAGTTATGCCTGCAATGATCTGCTTTCCAAATCAGATCACCTTCACAGGTCCTGAAGGTTAGGACTTGACAGTTTTTCTTTTTGGAGGGACATAAACCACCACAGATATAGATGTGGCTATTTCACTTGTCCCTATCTCTTGACATCTCTCTTGGTTGCTTTGCTTTAGTAATGTAAATAAAATTGTGATAGGTTTACATCCATATCCTCCTATAGAAACTATGGAGAAATAATTCTTAATATAATCCATTAAAAATGCCTAAATTTTATTTGACTTTCTAGGAACACATCACCTTTGAATTTCAAGGCTTACATTTTCTTTTTTAACTTAGAGAAATCCCCAAATTCTGTGCTATTTCTTCTTCTCTGGGTTTAGAGTTGGAGTGGTAGAAGAACTTTGTCCTATCTTTAGCTTGAAGATGGCCTGTTCCTCCATCAAGAGGTGAATCCCATTTACAGTTTTGCTTTTTTAGTCAAGACTGGCTGTTTGTTTACATCTGCTTGGCTTCATGCTGAAAACTCCTGGCCCGGTGACATCCCAAAGCCAGAAGGGAGCTTGTGTAGCCCCAGGCACCAGGCAGCGCAGTTCCATTTTCCTCCTAAAATCCCATAGCATGCACATCATCACAGCCAGATGCCAAATGGGTGCCCGATCACTCTCAAAGATGATTCATTCATTGCCAGCCCAGAGGGTTGAAGAGTGCTTTGACCCTAAAGACCCTAAATGGTCTTTTCTGAGGGCATTTGTTGCTTGTACAGGGTGTCATTAAGTATATAATAGATAGTATAATGAAATAGTCTATTCTGTTATTCTAATATGACTGGTCATGAGTAGGTGTCAAGGACCAAGGGATGCATATGACCTCGTTTGTGGCCAGCATTGCTGGGTACCTGCTGGTACCACCTTCCATGCAGCTCCATCCACCCACAGTGCAGAGGATGACACCACTCCAGGCACTTGGAAATACACCCGAAGGACTGCAGCAAGGGGTTAAGGCTACCATCCATGAGAACGGATCCCATTTGGGGAGCAAGTAGGAGTACTGAGGAGCATGTCCTAAATTCAACTAATTTTCCAATGGTATTAAAGTAGGTCTGAAAGCCTCTCCTAGAAAGGTGCTCTGAACAGCGGCATCACATCATTGGAATATGTGGCCAACCTTCCAAGCTCCCTGTTCTGAAAGTGGTTTTTATAACCACTGTATAAAATGTGGCAATCCCAGTTGTTTTGTTTAAAAATGTTAATAACCTATGGAAATTTCCCCTATATTGGAAAAAGTTTCCTTCCCTTGCAAGTTAAGGAACATCATCTATCCATATTACTAAGCATGTTTTGGTGGTGAGTATTTAAAATTTACTCACAACTTTTAGGAATGTGATACATTAGCTGTAGTCACCATACTGTGTCATAGATTTCCAGAAATGGAGGAAGAAAGCATTTGTTAATGGTCTTGTTTGGGGAGTCAATTGCACTTTTTTTTTCAGAGACGTCAACAAAATTAGAGTTGATGCAACTTCTAGATGAGTCCTTTTACAGAAAGCCATGGGGAGATATGAATGCCCCCTGGGCTCAGAGATGCTGCCACTCAGACTACCTTTCCCTGCCTTGAAGCAGTTTACTTACACAGAAGAAGTATTTTGTGTAAAATGTTCTTTTCTGTGCATCACACCTATCAGAATGCATACTGTAAAATAAAACCTGGAAAAATACCAAGAGTTAGAAGATAGTGCAGAAATTAGAACTCTCCTGTACTTTTGGTAGGAATGTGAGTCAATCTGAGTGCTCCTCAAAAAAATCAAGAGTTGCTGTGTGATCCAGCAATTGGGTATCTATCCAAAAGAGCTGAAAGTGTGGACTCTATGAGATACTTGTATACTTATGTGCATAGCAGCGTTATTCCCCATAGACAAAAGATGGAAGCCACTCAGTCAGTTAATGTGTAAACAAAATGTAGCATAAGCATACAATAAAATGTGATTCAGCCTTTTTAACAGAGGGAGTTCTTACATGTGCTGTAACACGGATGAACCTGGAGGACATTATGATGAATGAGCTAAGCCAGTCACTGAATGACAGTGACTGTTGATGCCACTTATACAAGGTACCTAGAGCAGTCACATTCATAGAGAATGAAAGTAGAGTCAAAGTCACCAGGGCTGGGAGTAGGGAAGAATGGAAAGTTCATGTTTGAGGGGGACAGATGAAAAAGATCTAGAGGTGGATGGTAGTGATCATTGCATGACAGTGATCTAGTGATCATTGCATGACAATGTGAATATAATGAATGCTGTTGCACACTTAATGGTTAAGATAAGTTTTAACTCAAAAAAAGTAAGTTTTATGTCATATGTATTTTATAGTAATATTTTTAAATTGTTATTTTCTGACTCAGCACACTGGGAAGAGATCTTGGCTGCATGGGCGTGGTTCTGGGTTAGGGTACTGGAGGTGGGAGGTCCTTATCCAGGGATAGGAAAACCGAATCTGCTTTAGCTGCAGGCAGCAGAGCTCTGGGAGGGGAGACCCTGGCCTCCTGTGTTGGCTGTGTTGCCTGCCACCGGCCCGGGACAGGGGTGTTCTTTCTCCCTCTTATGCTAACACTTCAGAGCTACCTGGGTAGTCATGATTGCTCTCACCTGCTGCTGTGGAGCTGCTAGACTGAGTGGCCGCTTCCTCTGGGTGCTGCAGATGTGATGCTGAAGACCTCCCACAAGTTCAGGGAGGTAGTGTTGAAGGTAGCCAGGAAGCAGAGCTGGCCAAGAAGCATCATTTAATAATTAGAGGCTGAGAGCTCTAATTCCCTAGGTTGGGATAATAATGGGCTGATGTTTTTGCAAGGAAATTGGGTGCAAGGCAGCTGCTGCTCTGGAGAAGCAATCCTTACCTTCCAGAGTAATCTGAGCTGAGCATACAGTGTCCCTGTGTCCTGGGCCTGCAATTGGCCAATCCGAGCGATTCTTCTCTTTCTTTCCTCATCGTGGGCTCGTCTGAGCCTGAGAATTATTCTCCTGGACACGCACAGACTGGCAGATGGCCACCAGGGAGGATATGAGTATGACATCATGGCCAGCAGAAGCCGCCAAGCCAGAAGCAGTGGAAGCCAGGTTTTCTGCAGCTGTGTCTGGGGCTGGAGAAAGCTGCTGGGTTGCCTGGGTCTGGGGCCACACATAGCTTACACAGAAGACTGAGGCTTCTGGGGTCTAGGCACCCACCTGGTATGCCTTTACGTTTGGTTCTGCCCTTGACTCTGAAAGATGGGAATCCAGGAGTTTCCTCCTAAGTTCAGGTCTGTGTTGCTGCTGAGCATGGCAGGGACTCCCTCGCCCCCAGTGTACAAGCAGGGGTGGCCGTGGCCCCACATGGGGATACCGCTGTGGCCCCTGATCTTCTTAAGCCTCCCAGTTCCCTGGGCTCTGTCTTCTACCCTGCCCCCTCCTCTACCTGCTCTTTACTTTTCTAAAAAGACTCCTAAAAGTCTTGCTTTTATGGTTTTTTTATGGTTATTCTCTTTTTATGGTTATTTTATGGTTATTTATGGTTTTATGGTTATTTCTACAAGATTCCCTTGGTTTTGGGGTATGGTCTTAAAGGCTTTTTTTTCCCCTTTCTTAAAATAGTTTTAAAATTGATAAGTTCTAGACATTTACAACATGGTGACTGTTCTTAATATTGACATGTGCTTGAAAATTGCTAGGAGAGATTTTGAATACTGTATTCTCACCACAAAAGCAAGGTCATAGAGATGCTCATTTACTTGATTTAATCATTTGCCGAAGTCTACATATATCAAAGAATCACATTTTACCCTGTAGATATGTCCAATTTTTTAATAATAAAAATATTAAATTGACCAAAAATTGATGACCAAAACATGTACATTTGTTATGAAAGTTACACATTTTGAGTAAGCAAAACTCGCGTAAGTTGCTGACACGATCTGCCCCGAACTCCTTCTTTCTCTCTGGCCACCCTGTGGAAGCTGTCACACATACCTTTGCCACCTGCCCTGCCCTCTCCTCTGGGCTCACAGGATATCCACTGAGCCCCGTGGGATGACTTTGTCCCAAGGCAGCCTGGACCTAGGATTCCACACATCAGGGCACCAACTGGAGCCTTTAAACCCACAGATCCAGGATCCAGGTATAAGTGGGCTGCTGGAGTCTTTAGGGTTCACACCCGAGCCTGATTCAGAGCCAGGGCTGGAGACTGTAGTGCTTGCCCTCCTCCTGGGGAGTGTTTGCTCCTCACTGGGCTGAGAAGCATCAGATGTGGGTTACACTCTGGAGGTCCACACACCACAGCGTGCTGGGCATTGGAGATTGCTGCAGTGGGGAGAGAGGCAGACATGATCATTAAGGTGAGGTCAGGAGAGTAACACGCTCTGTTATCCTGTGTGAATGCAGGCCAGATCCTGCCCTCAGAGTCCATGTGGGTAGCAGGAAGGGGTGGAACTGTGGAGGATGAATACCCGAGTATAGCCATGGGGCCAGAAGCTGGGAGGTGGTACCTGGGGAGGGAAGATGGGCTGAGGCTCAACCAGGGCTTCCACTTGCTTTCATAACCTTGCTTGGTGTCAGGCTTGTCTGTCTGGCCCTATCTCCCCTCTTAGATTTTTGTTTTTGGCCATCCTGGGCATTGAACCCAGCGCCAAGCTATATCCCCAGCCCTTTTTAAATTTTTCATTTTGAGATGATCTCACTAAGTCATTAAGTTGCCCAGGTTAGGCTTGAACTTGGGATCCTCCTGCCTCAGGCTCCTAGAGTGCTGGGATTACAGGTGTGAGCCACTATGCTTGGTTCCTTCCTAGAGTTTTAAAGGAAAATAAGGAACAGGGCTTTAGAACACAGCTTTTCCAACTGCAAGAAAGTTACAGGTGAGTGAGTGATGTCTCTAGGTCCCATGAGAAGATGAGCGTGGAGCCCAGCAGGAGTACTTCGTTGGGCCATCTTCCTGTTCCCCAGCTCCCAGGCAGGGTGTTTGGGTGCCGACCCTGGAAACTTAAGAGACAGAGCCATAGGAGTGTTTATTATTGACAAAGGACAGCTCAGAGCCCTTGTTTCACTGTGAGAAATGAGAGTGAACCCCTTGGGCCCACAGAAATAGGGCAAGACCAGGTTTTGATCTTCTTTGTTGCCTCACTCATCCACAGCTGCACACCTGGGGGATCCTGGGGAGCTTTAAAGAATATGAGTTTTAGTAATGATTTTGTTTGTCTTCTCTTGGACATAATTCATGGTCATTACAGCATGGGAAAGAAGTTGCTCCCAAGCAGCTTGGAGAGTCCACTACAGTATGATGATTCTGACAATTGTCTCTGATCAATGACTTAACAAACATCTTCCAAAACTTTTTCAGCTGTGAGAAGGAGACTTCAGCAACTGTTCTGTATGAAATAGCTCAGCTAGAAAAGGAGGCCCTTCTGTGGGTAGCTGGGCTGTCTTAGTTATTTTCTCATTGCTGGGGGAAAGTACATGTAACCCACAAGTTAAAGGAGGAAAGTTTACCTATTTTGGCTCACAGTTTGTGGAGGGTTCAGTCCATAGTTGTCTGGCTCCAAGGCAGGGCGGCATGGCAGAGGGGAAACAGCTCATGGTGTGGCAGCAGGAGGAAGCAAACTTCGTTCTTTCCTTAGTCCATCCAGGTTACAAGGTAATTGGATGGTGCCACCTACACCCCGGGTAGGTCTTCCCTCTTTAATAAATTCATTGCCCCCACCCAGAGCTGTGTCAAACCAATCAGTGGACTAATCCAGTATCATACACCCATGATGTAGTTACATCTCAAAACCCCCATCTATGAGCACATGAGGCTTTGGGGGGACATCTAGATTCAAGCCATAACGTGGGCTTTCCACTTTAAAGTGTTGTGGGCGGGTTACTCTTGGCAAACACGGCTAGTGTGATATGTCAGTATGGTCTGTGACAACTAAAGCAGTAACATTGCAGGACAACTAGGCATGGTCAATTACTGTGTTTTCTTCTCATTCTTGCAGGGTACCACATACATCTGACTGTATTTTTTCTTTTTTGTAGGACAGATTTCTGCGTTCACAAAGATGAGCCATGCGACACTGTTGGTAAGTTTAAAGTTTAATAATCTAAGAGGCTGATGTAGCCTGAGGCTTCCTGATAATACATCCAGTGTGAAGCTTTCCCTCCAAACATTCAGTATTTTCCGTTGTCTCTTTTCCTCAAGTGAACTGACTGTTTTGCTTGAAAAGTTTTGAAGTTGTTTATGACAGAGGGCATCTGGATAACAGTTAAAAAGGGAGCTATGATAAGTGAAAGGGGAAGGGCCACCAGGCTGCCCCATGGCGTCTGTAGGTGGGGACACATTTAGCTCTGAGAGTCTTGGTCATTCAGGCAAGAAGGACTACTTGCTGGATTACGTATGCAGTTGTCATAGACAGAAATAGTGGCTTACACCCATACATGCAAGTGGTCTATATTGAGTACTCTAAAAAAGAGTAAAGTGTGACCACTTAGTTGTAATTCTGGTCTTTTTTATCAACCATGGCATCAGGCTAACTTGCTTTGTGGCCAGATTGTACTAATACCGACGTGCAGTGCCGGAAAAGCTTGCTGTCTGTCTTCCCTTCCCTTCCTTTTCTTCTTCCCCACCTTTGCCCTTACTTGCCCTTTTCCTCTCTCTCCTATTCTCAGCGATATCTGGTATCAAATGGAAACTGTTCTTCAGGTATAGGAATAGAGTGCTAGGTTTTGGTGTTCCAAGAGTCTTTCCAGTTTTGATTGTCATATCACAAACGTTTACAAACAAGGAGATCAAGGCATGTATTGCTAAAAGCACAATTGTGAGCCTTGTGTCCTTTGACTTGAATGGAATGAAATGGAAAATAGTAGAAGACTGAAAAGCTGGAATATTGTAACAGTCAGATATTAACAGCCTGTGTTTCTCATGGAGTCTCAGCTGTGTGTACTCCCAGGCCTTCACTTGCCTCTGCCAGGGACAAGCAAGGTGACCCTGGGTAAACCTCCACTTTTCTTTTCTTGATGAAATGACCGCTTTAGAGTGTGTGATGTAAAAGGCCTTTCAAAACCTAGTGTAATGCTAGCTAAAATTTTCACGTTAGAGTTTATGAAGTGATTTTTTATTTCTTTATTCATTGGTCCTCTAAACATCAGAGAGCAAGGTGCTGAAACCCAGCCGATGGATACGTGCTTTGTTCTTTGGGGCTGTCTCCCTAATGGAGTTACCTGTGCTTTGCTCAAGGACAGCTGGCTGAGGAAGTCTGGCTGGGGCTCTGGAAGATGTGTGTTGATCTCTGTTCATCTCCTGAGCTACCAAGGCACGTGCTCTCTGGAAAAGCCTGCTCCTCAGTACTGCGGGGTCAGCTCTGACGGCCGCCATAGCTCTTCCTGAGGGAGTTTCTGACCCCTGCTTCTGCTGGTTAACTGGCTCTGATGGCCTGGAGAGGTGCTGGTCCTCATATAGCCCTTGCCTGTGGCTGCTGCCTGCCCCAAAGACGACGTTACACGGAGCTGAGCTCTGGCCTCTAACCTGTGTGTCCTCAGCACCTGGCTCAGGATGTGAGAGGCTTGGTCGCTCCCCATTGTCAGTTGGTTGATTGCTCGAAGGAGTGTGAATGAGTGAACACAGGTGAAGGTCCAGTGTCTGTGCACAGCGGGCCTCTAAGCACGTAGTTTTCTTTCTTGTGGTCGATAGCTGACTTTTGTTTGCTTTGGAATAGATGAAAGATCCCTCTTTTGCTAGGACTCCACCGGTGATTTTGAGTAGGTACTCTGTGTGGGCCCTGTGCAGGGGTGGGAAGCTAGTTGTAATCAAGCATTTTTCCCTCTTCTAAGCCAAATCGCTGTGCTACTTTTATTAGTTTCCTGAGAATTCTGTAATAAACATAGACTGCATGGTTCAAACCACAGAAATTGACTGCCACATAGTACTGGAGCCAGAGGTCCAAGGTCCAGGTCTGCTGGCTTGATTTCTGGTGAGGCCTCTGTCCTTGGTTTGCAGATGGCTACCTGGTCCTCAGTGTGTGCACTTTAAGTCGGTTTTTCAAGGCCCTATTTCTAAACACAGACACATTGAATTTGCTGGGCTGGGGGAGCACCATTCAGGCCATAACACTATTCATTTGACCCTCAGCCATATGTCACCAGGGAGCATCCCATGCCCTTCTGCGACCTCCCAGGCATCTGCCTCATTTCCTGAGCAAAAATTATTTTTGGTGGCAGGAACCATTTATAATCATTCTTCATTCTTCATGTGATGGCTGCTTAGCTGAGGGCCAAGCCGGCAACCCGTTGCTTCCTACTGTTATTTTTCTAATATTTCTAAATCACCATTTTCAACTTTTAGAAAAGAGAACTGAATTCTTTTGTGAACACAGTTGATTTTGCATGGTGTTTTATTAGTAAACATTGTAATGTGTTCTAATTGCACATGTATCAAGTCAGTAAGAACAATGAGGTGATTTGGTACCCATAAAAATTTGGAAACTGGGGTATGGCTGTCATATACCAGTCTCAGCACCCCTTTATTTCTGTTCTTACAGTTTTTAAAATTTAGAAATAATTGGAGAATCACAAAAAGTTGGCAAAATAATAGAGAGATCTCTTGTTCCTGTCACCCAGCTTGCTCCAGTGGCAATGCCTTACCATTGCATTGTCAGAATCAGGAAATCAGTGGGCCTGATACAGTGAGCTAGACTGCAGATCTTAACCCAGTATCACTTGTTTTTAGTGTGCTTTTATACATACAGTGTATATACCTGGGTATTCACAGGTTCCTCATTCACAGATTTCAGCCCCGCTGTGGATTGAAAATGCTTGGGTATTCGACATGTACAGATTCTTTTCTTGTCTTTCCCTCCGAACAATACCATATAACTATTTCTACAGCACTTCCACTGTATTAGGTATGAATAATCGAGACAGGAGGAAGACATGCAAGGTCATGAGCAAACACCTTACTGTTTTATGTAAAGGAACTGAGCATCCACAGATTTTGGTATATGCAGAGGCCTTACAACCAGCCCTTCACACATACGAGGGACAACATAGTTGTCTGGCATTGTATCACATGTATAGATTTGTCCATTCACCCTTACAATCAAGAGCAGAATGGCTTTATCACCTCCAAGAAACTCACCTGGGCTGCCCTCACCTAGAGGGCACCCTTTTCTTCTCCCACTTTTCCTAATCCCTGGCAACCATTGGTCTGTATTCCATCTCTATAATTTTGCTATCCCAACATCCAATTTATTTTTACATTTTGTTTTGATTGCACAGAATTGAAAAAATAATCTGAATCTCAGAGATATATGCTTGCCGATGTGACAAGATTTGAACAGCTGCCTTGGGAGCTCAGGATCCAGCTGTGTCCTGAGTGCTGCAGATAATGAGGCATCTAGTATTTGAGGTCACCAGGAGATCTAGGGGTTGCCAGTGTTATATAACTGGGTAATAACTACATGTTTCTTGTATTTATTAGGCTGTAACTCATGTACAGTGAAGAGCACAAATCCGGATGGATTTTTTTTTTTTTTTTTTTGGTAACGGGAATCAAACTCAGGACCTTGCCTTTGCCAGGCAGGCTCTTGTGCCTCTGAGCTATATCCCTGGCCCCGATGGATTTTTAATTTATGCCTGCACTCTGTTTTTGTTTTGGCTTATCTTGTATTAATTGAAGTAATTTTAAGGCAGTATCCTGACTTGCATTTAAACTATGTTTTTTATATAGCTGTAAAGTACTGCATGTTGCTATGAACCGGATCTGGAATGTTCCCAGTGGCCTATGTGTGAAAGGATTAGTCCTGGCTTGATGCTATTGGGAGTGGTGGAAAGTTTAAGAGGTGGGGCCTGTGGGGAGGATGTGGGTCATTGGAGGAGCACCCTCCCAGAGGACTGTGGAACTCATTTCTTCTGCACTCTCACTCACTTTCCCTCCCTCATCTCCTGGCCATGACAAGTAAACAGCGGCTTCCGCCATCTGCTCCCACTGTGCTGTGTTGCCCATCTCACAGGTCCACAAGCAATGGCCTCAACCAACTGAAGTCTCCACCACCGAGAGCCAAAGGCAACCTCTGTTTTTTATGGCTTGCTTATTTCAGACACTTCATTACAGTGGTGGAAAGCTAATGCACACACACATAACATAAAATTTGCCATCTTAACCATTTTGAAGTGTATAGTTTAATAGCATTCAGTACATTCACAGTGTTATGCAATCACATGCCTCAATGCTTAAAATTACTATGCAAACCAAGAGTAGTATCTGTCCTTTAGAAGTTCCTCTCGTGCCACTCCTCTAGTCAGTATTCCTCCCTAAAGTAATCTATTATAAGTGTTTTTAAAATAGTGTAATAGTGATACTGTTATGGTTTGAATCTGAAATGTCCCCTCAAAGCCTCATGTGTTTGGAAGGTGACTGGATCACAAAGGTGCTGGACTTAATGGGGGGATTGGTCCACAGATGGGTTCAAAGCTATTAGGAGGTGGGGCCTGGTCAGAGTAGGTGTGTCACTAGGTGCTCACCCTGCTCCTCCCTGACTCCTCACTTCTCTCTGCTTCCTGGCCACCACGACGTAAGCAGCTTTCTCCACTCTGCTGGCTAGAGCCAGCCAACCATGGACGGTAGCCATGGGCCAGAATAAGCCTCTCCTCCTCTCAGTTACAGGCATCCGGTATTTTATCCCAGTGACAAAGGAAGTGGCTAAGACAGACACACTGGCAGAACTTCTGAGAATCTGAGTGGATTTGGGGGTTCTATAAAAGATACTTTTCCTTCTACTTTGCCCAATCTGCATTAGCCCATTTTGTCAGGCTGAGTTCTTCAGATGAGAAGCGAGGCAGGGTTAGGAGTTAGGGGCAGTGAAAGGGGTTGGGCAACCTGAATTGGAACGCAGGCAGCACTGCGTGAGCCCAGGAGGGAGAAACCATAGAGGTCAATGGCAGGGCCTGTCTGGCCTGCACGCTACTGTGGCCATGTTGGGTGGCCTCTGTCGACCCTTCCCTGTCCTTATCTGCACTGGGATGAGGGCAGCTGTGGCCCTTTGTACTTCCATAGGGGATGGAATGGCATATTCTAGAAAAAATAGAT